CCGGTTGGTGCGGCTCATGAAGAGCCGCTTCAGCACCACTTTATTGAAGGCCGAATTCGTTCTCCGGGCCAGGAAGCGGTACAGCTACGGTGGGGGGCGGGGGTCAGCACCGGAAACCGGAACTCCCCCTCCTCCAAAGCGGAAGTCCCCCCTGCCCGCCGCGGCCTAACCTTGACCAGCAGCCTCAGGTAGATATCCTGACTTTTGGGCTCCCGCCGCCTGACTTTGCGGTCGCGGTTATGGCGGATGTCGACACCCTGAAGGAGGAAAACGGCGCCGTCAGAACCGGGACCGGCTTACCGTCAACCGGGCCCGGAGCTCAGAACCGCGGCTTGAAAGCGGAACGAGGCCCCAACCCGACCCCGCTCCGCCCCGCCACCCCGCCGCTGCTCTCCCCGCATCCCCGTGAAGCGGCCCCGGTCCCCCCCGGCCCCTTCCCGGCGGCGGATGGCGGCGGATTGGCGGAGCTGCGGGCCCGGACCCACCATGGCGGCTGCGATGCGAGCGAGAAGAGAAAACGGAAAGGAAAGAGGCGGGACTTCCGCTCCCGGACCGGAACTTCCTCTCCTGGACCGGAACTTCCGCTCTCAGAGGACGGATGTGGGTGGTGGGGCCGCTCTGCGCGGCGCTCCTCTGTTGTACTGGAGGACTCGCGCCGAGAAAGTAGGCGGTGACCATAGAGTCAGAGCGGAGGAAAGAGTGTACGCTGCAATCCATTCCTCCTATTGGCTGAGCGCCCTGCCAATTAAAAAGCACCGATGAGCACCGCGCAAAGGGATTGGACGCAGGGATAACTTCCGGGTCAGGGGGCGCATCAAGGATGTGCTCTTCCGGGATCCGTCAGAGCGCACGTGGGTTGGAGCCGTGCACCCGTAGGGAGCGGAGCCGGGGGGGTTTGGGGTCAGTGAGGACCCCCGGTGGGGCATCTATGGGGCCGTAGGGATTGGGACCCCCGTAGGGTGTATCCATGGACCCGTAGGGTTTGGGGCTGGGGGGCTTTGGGGGCAGTGAGGACCCCCATGGGGTATCCATAGATCTATAGG